GTTTATTATATTAATTTCTTTATACCCAGAGACATGTGAACATGGAGAACAACATTAGCATTTGTTGACTGTAGCATTAAACTGATTGGTTCTATGGGTGTCTGTAATACTGTATATAACTGTACTGCAGCTTCATGATGCTGACTTTGTGGAAACCAGGGAATATAAATACTGATTTTTTTGCCTAACAATTATCTTGATATGATACTTTACACTAAGATTAATATCTAGCCGTTTATCATTCTTATGAGCAAATTAAATCTGTTTGGCTCCATGAGCGCTAACATGCTAATGTGCACTAAATTATTATTCTTATAATCATCCATCAGGTGTTGGATGTGTGTTGGAAAATGTGCACGTTCTACTAGGATATAATGTATATTCTGGCTTTGTTTTACTGTCACTTTTTATCTGTATTTTTATTCTGGGTTGTTTTCCTCCCCCCCACACCCCCCCGGACTTCCTCACCTCTCTGGGCCTCCATGCTGCAGCTGGCTCCTGGAATGACAGGACTTCTCCTTCAGGGAATTCCTCCCACAGAGAGGTATAATGCCTGGGACATCAAGTATTAACTGTTTGTGTGTTTCTTTGATGGGAAAAGAAGAGAAGAAGCAAAGGCAGGTGTCCCGGCTCTGTGTTTATGTGAGTAAGACGGGGGACACAGTGGACGTGTTCTATAAAAACCTTCTCCTATGATTGAAGTCAGGAGGGAACAACAAACAGCATCATCCAGTCTGACAGATGTCTCTTCCTGATAAATACTTCAGACACCGCCTGATTACTGCAGCTTACCGCACCATCGTTATGTAACGTTTACGGACAGCGACGAAATCCTGGTTTGGTTTTAATCAGTGTGTGTGTGTGTGTGTGTGTGTGTGTCACTGACTTCTGCTTTTTCTGAAGCCCACGCTGAAGAAACAGAAATATCTTATGCTGTGGCGATTGAGCCGATAAAGACACAAAGGCTCCGTCATGGTGGGAGTGTATGTCAAAAAGTCATGGAGACAATAACCAGTGCAGTGGACACAGAACTATGTCTGCTGGTCAAACTATTTGTTGATGAGACCATTATTGTCAAGACAACTGGACATTCACACATGGTCATCACAGAACTGGAGCAGATTTAAAACACTTCAATCCCATACAACTGCAAAAGAGATAAATGGATGGATGGATGATGGATGGATAGATGGATGGATGGATGGATAGTTGGATGGATGGATGAATGGGTAGATGGATGGATGTATAGGTGGATGGATGGATGGGAAGTTGATAGGACATAGAAAACCGACGTTGTGTTTTCAAGGATCATTTGCCCCAAGGTTCCACAAGGTTCCTCGCCACCCTGGGAGCAGGGGTTATAGGGCAGCAACAGGAGCTAAAATAAAAAAAAATAAACTAAACTTAAATCCAAACAAACCCACAATGACAGTCAACAATATCTGAAACAGTCCTACATACTGACCTACAGACCACATGGAGGAAGTGGAATTCAAAGGAAGGGCAGGTGTGTCCCAGCCTCTGCATCATG